TACCATAGAAACATAAGTAAAGTTAGAAATAAATGTATATAGAATGACAATCACATATGACTACGCCTGCCATATATTTATTTAAAAATTTTGCAGTGTGTAGAAGATTTTTCAAAGGTATGCTTTGTTTGCCTTTTTTTGTTTTGTTTTGTTTGTAAACAGTGGTTTGGGTGCCAGAATAGTTTGCTGATATTTGAATTTTTAAAATTTAAATAATGGTCAAATAAATGTTCATTCACATCCCAATCAAAGTTTAGGACCTTCAATGAGATCTGGGTTATACCCAAATTATTAAGGCCAAAAAAAGGCTTGTGGCATGCTTACAGTGAATGTCTAGCCATTTGAGTTCTTTTTGCATTGTGCCTGGTGCAAGGCTGAAGGTGCCCATTGAGAGAAACGTGGGCCAAGAGGCCGCCAAACATTCAGCGTCCTATTTACAAATGAAGCACTATTTCCTGGCACATGGTAAAAGCCATAGCGTTTGTGGGTGGCATGCTGAGTGGCTTAGTAAAGTTCACAATCGGTTTGGTCACCGAAGCCGCAAAGCCAGCCCAGCGTAGCAACCACAAGCCTGGGCTTTTGAGTTGTACCGGACCTGATGCTGAACACTGGGTCTATGCCTAACGTGGTACAATCTTAGGAAACTCACCTAACCTCTCCGGCTGGAAGTTTCTTCATATGTAAAATAATGAAAATCAAAGTGCGCTAATTCCATGGAATTGTTTGCCAATTAAGTTAAATAATTTATATAAACATGTCAAACCAGTGATTATCTGTGAACATCTTATCTGACCTCCTTTATGAACATTGCTTTTTTGTTAACTCCCTGTCAGGGCGTCATTGGAAGAAAACAGCCGATCAATAAGAAGGCAGTTTTATCAAATGTATTATCTCGATGTAACCTAATTCTTATATCTGGAAGCACTGATCCCCATTCTCATACACCAGGACGTTTTATTTACCAAAGTTTCTGCATCTTTTTGCCACCATTTAAACACGATCTTTAAGTGCCTCGATGATTGAAAAACCCTTATATGAACAAGCCGGCAAGAGTTACTCTAAAACATAAGTGTGGTCTGAACCCCAAGTGAAGTGGGGAGCTGCACGTCAATTCTTGGAAACAGACAGTTTCCCTCTGTCCACTCAGGTTGCTCTGAGTCGGCACTGGCTCCAGGGCAGTGAGCTGAACTGAGCCGAGGTGCCGTCAAGTGGATTCGCACTTAGAGTGGCCTGAGTTCCTTTTACTTTATTGAATCTTTCCTTCAAAGTGCACACCTGTGTTGGATGAACAGGTCAAATAATCAAAATGACAAGGTTAGATGAAATGATTTAGTTGTTAATTATCAGTAGGCATTCGTTCTGATATAAACTAGTGCAAAGAGAATTAAATTCTTGTGATTCACACTAATGGTATTACTTCAATAGAGTTATAGATTATTCCAGTCGAAGAATAGGAGTTCGTATTCATTATAGCAATCTAGTGATATCCCTGTAATATAATTGTTCCTGTGATATCCCTGTGACAGCATTGTTCCTGAGTGTTCCCAAGGCTACAACTCTTTAAGTGGGTAGACAGCTCCTTCCTTGAAAGGAGTGGCTGGTGGTTTTGAACTGTTGACCTTATGGTTGGCAGCTCGATCAAAACCCACTGTGTCCCCAGGGCACTGGGAAGGAGAGATGCTGACATGTTCAGATCTTCGCATACAATTTATTTCCCCATACTGAGGTTTGAAATCTCATAGCCATTTTTCCTTTCTGTATTGCACAGATGTTCGACTTTCAATTATTATTCATGCAAATCCTTCCCACCTGATGCCCACAATTACCATCTTCGTCTACGTCTCTCTCAGCTCACTCACTCCTCATGTGTTACAATTATTTTTCTATCAGGTCTTTCACACCTGACTTTATCCTTTAACAATCCATTCTTTGTGATAGAGACTGCTTCATCTTTTTGAAACTCCACTCTCAGATTTCTTCAGATCTCTGGCACTTATTTACATCTCCAGTCGATTCACTCAGGCATGTCTACAAATCCGTTCTCAGAGGAAAACTACAAGCGAGCTCTAGCTTCTGCAGATACGCTGCTCTCAGATCCAAGATCTCCTTGGTGCCTAGTCTTCAGGTCAGCCTACCCACAGTGCTTGGCTTTCTGCTAAGGTGCTTATATCATTCTTAAACCCTGACTTCATGCATGCTCTCTGAGTCTCAGTTGTGTTAGTCTGGGTACTTTAGAAAAACCAATTCACAGAAACTCATGTATAAGAGAGAGTATTATATAATGGTTAAGTGCGCGTCAAGAAAACATCCCAACCCAGTGCTGCCCAAGCCTGCAAGTCCTACATTAACTCATATGTCCAACACCAATCCACAAAGTCCTCCTCCATCTCACAAAACACATGCAATGATGCCAACTGCAGGAGGAAAGCCGAATCAGTGAATGTGTAAGCATCTCAGCGTTGGTAGGGGTCTCCACACCCAGGGCTGCATTGGGGTAGGTCCACGCGGCTTCTCCTCAGGGATGTCTTGCAGGAAGTGAGCTTTGCCAGCTGAAGCAGGGAACTGGCTAAGGCAGCTGCACCCTGGTCCAACCATCACAAATCAAGAGACCCGAGAACTAGAAAGGTGAGTCTCACTGAGCCATTTATCTCTCTGCCTTTCAGTTACCCCACATGTGTCTATCGGCCAGGTTGGCACAATAAAGTAACTACCTCACAGGTCAACACTCCAGCTTTTGATCCCAGCTTACCTTGAGTCTGTCTTTCACTGTATTCTCCCTAGCCTTCAGGACCCCTCAGCATTCACCTTATCAGCATGAGCCATGACATAGGTCCCTATTCAGAAGCCTTCAGGGTTTCCCTGCTATTTTGACAAGTGCTTTGTTCTGACATTACTAGCCCTCTCTAACAGACTTCATTTTAAAGGTCTAATCTGACCGTTGACTGCTCCCCAACATGAACTCTGATCTGACCTAGGAGGACTTAGTGTGCTCTGAGCACACCAAAGATGGCTCCTATTTCCGAGCCTTTGATCACCCCATCCCACCACGAGAAATCTCCTCGCACACAAACACTTCTGAATCGTATTGGATATTTTAATGTGTATCTACCACAAAGGCACCTTAAATGATTGTAACCTACATTGAATCTCCCTTCCTCCATTTAACTCCTTATAGAAATTAAGTAGATACCCTACAAAGTAGAGCGGATGTGCCACCTACAGAAATAACGGGGAGAAAATGTCTTATGGAGTCTCTCTTATGAGTCACCACCACCTGTTTCCACTAGGTTCTGACCTTCTGGGAGGTCAAATGGAATTGAAGCTTTCGGGTGTTTTTATTTCCCTTGTTCACATAAGTGATTATATAGTTCGCGCACACATAGACGAGATTTCATAAAAATTTGTTGAATTAAATAGATAGAGATGATGTTTGTTTCCTGTTTAAATCAGAAGAAATACAAACTTTCTGCTACCCCACAACTCCATTATATACTGCAAGGCCTATACATGATTTAAAGATCTTGTTGACATTATTTTCCATCAACATTTACTGATAGACTCCTGTGTTTGCTACTCGAGAATGGTGCATTAAACAACATCAGCACACAAGCCTTTGAATGCCAAAGTACTACCTTGAGTATATCTCACTTGAATTTAGGGACCAAATCAAGAATACATTTGATATAGTGAACATTCATGATTAAACACCAGGGACATTGTGGGATGGCATCAAGAACATCACATAAGAAGAAAGCAACAAGTTATTAAAAAGAAATGTGTGTTAGTCTGGGTAGACTAGAGAAACAAATCCATAGATACTCAAATGTGTAGAAGAGGGCGTTTTATATAAAGGGTAATTTTATATTAAGAAAGCATCCAACCCAGTCCAGTCCAAGCCCATAAGTCCGATATTAGCCTATATGTCTGATATCAATCTATAAAGTCCTGTTCAGACTCATGAAACACATGCAATGACACCAATTGCAGGATGATCAGAGGCCAGTGGCACTAAAGTCTTTGGATCTAGTGGTGTTGTGAGCATCTCAGCGCTGGTAAGGGTCTCTACGTGGCTTCTCCAGCTTCAGAGCTGCATCAGGGTAGGTCCATGTGGCTTCTCCTTAGGGACGTCTTGCAGGGAGGAAGTGAGCAGAGAGAGTCTCCAAGGGAGTGAGCTGAGAGAGAGAGTCTGTCTTCTGCCTCTAAGAAGGAAATCCAGGAATTCCCAGAATTCTCAGGAGAAGGCCATGCCCACACGGAGGGCTCATTGGCTATGACCTGATTGACAGGCTAGACTCCACACCTTCACTCTTAATCCTATCAAGCCCCAATTGACACAAAATTATGTAAGTACCACAAAATGATAGAAAGAAATTAGCAAAATAGATGTAATATGAAAGTCTGAAATGTGAATTTAAGGTAGCAAAAACAAAAGAAGCAATGTTGAAGTTCAACTGCTCAACAGAAGTTTTCAAAGAGTAGTTAGAAAAGACAAAGTACTGTAGTGAAATGTTCAAACACTTGGAGTTAGAAAACAAAAGGGAAAAACATATTATTTTTGAAGCAAATTCTTTTGTGACCCCCAAATAATTGATCAACATTCACCCATTTCTGGAGGTAGAATGCGATCAAGAGCCAATGATATGAAGGAAGAAATTGTATTGAGGCATTAATGAAAAACAGAGCCCCAGAAATCGACAGAATACGAATTGAGATTTTCAACAAATTGATGCAATGCTGCTCCAAGTTCTTTCTCATCTATGTCAAGAAATTTGGATGACAGTTACCTGGCTAACTGACTGCAAGAGATACGTATTTGTGAAACGTGATCCAATTGAATGT